TGCTGCTCCCGCGGGCGGTAACCTGCCCCCTCGCACGCGCGCCTGCCGCAGCCCCTCCGCGCCGACGCCGGGCCCCTGCCGCACCCTCCCGGCTCCGCGTCCCCGGGGCACGCGGCAGGACGAGGGTCCTGACCTGTTTGTTGCACGGCCATCGGGAGGTGCGAGCAAAACCAGTGCGAGAGTCACGAGGACGGGTTTCTTCCCGCGCCTTTCGCTTTCGAGTCGGTGCGAGGCCCTTAAAGTTGCACTAACGCCTATTTTCGTCTCGCTTTTAACTTACTAGGGCTCTGAGGTTTTGCTTCTGTCATGCCGGCCTCACAATTCCCCCGCAGCGTTTGACCCCGCTGCCAAAATACGGATCGGGAGGGATGCGGGCAGTGACGCGCGAACCCCCAAAGGCCGCTGGCGTTGGTCTCCCCGGGCCGGGCTGCGCGGCAGCGGCGCAGAGCCGCGCGCTCCCGCCCCGGGCTGTGCGTTCCTGCCCGGGAAGCGCTCTGCTCCGGGCTTCGCCTCGGCGGTCGCCGCTTCAACAGGTCTCGAGCAAAGCTCTGCCGCGCTGGAGCCTTTCCTTGGCAGTCAGGGGCTTTTTGCCTTTCCCCGGTAGCCGGTCGCCCTGCCAAGCTGCGCCCAGCCCAGAGATGACAAAGTGCCCTTTAGTTAATTGCAGAACGGATCGCCTGGAGTTAAAAGTTCTGATTTATACGACTGCGGCTCTAACTGCTCAATAACACGGGCCCGTAATCTACTTTCATTTCAAACAGAAGGGTGATTTATGGGGCAGCATGCCGCTTTAGCTCAGAAATGAGGTGTTCAACATATGCTCTGTTGACATAAATTTGGAATTTATCGCTCCTGTCAAAACTGCCTGTTGGACAAAGGTGCGCATTAAGGCAATAAATGGCTCGGAATAGTTTTCTGTCAAATTTCCTAACCATTGTATTCACTCTGTTTGCGGGGAAAAACATACACTTAAAAGTAATCAAACGGCCAAAAGCCATGCGTCTCCCTCGGCGCGGAGGGGAGGGGAGGGGAGGGGGTCTCCTCCCGCTTCCCAAAAGGGGTGGCGGGGAGGGGCCGGGCAGCCAGAGCTCCTTAAGTACAAATAGCAGGAGGCGGTTTTGTGCAGGTTTTGGAGCAGGGCTTGGCTGGGAGCGGGCGGCAGCGTTTGCCACCGATCCGGCCTTTTCACACAAAGCACCCTGGGGGGAAAACTCATAATTTTTACACCGCGCGGTCTCGCTGGAGTCGCCGTCCCTTTGAAGTGCTTTTTGCGGGGCATTTACAGGCCTTTTTAATTACCGGCAGCTTGTGAGGGGCCAGCCTCCCGCCCGGCTTTTGTTTGCCGGCGCTAGGTGGGGAGGGGGGATCGCCCCGCCGTCGGTTTATATCCCGCCCGGAGAGCCCTTCGCCAAGCCTCCGCGCCAGGGCTCGCTCGGGAAGGTCGGCCCCGGCCCCGGGACGCCCCGCCGCAAGCGTCCTCGCCGCCCTGGCAGACCTCCGTGCCGGAGCGTATCCTCCGGCGATACCTCGCAACCCGGCAGCTTCGGCCGGCCTCGTGTTTCTGTGTGCCTCGAGCGCTGCGTCGAGCGGCAGCGACAGAGGAAAACCGTCGTTTAAAGGAGGGAAAAAAAAAAAAAGGCGCTGTTCCCGATCGCCGCTGCTCACCATCCCACAAGCATCTTCTTGGCCGAGTTGCTCGTAGGGACCTTGCAGGAGAAAGGGAGCGCGCCGAGTGTAGTTTCAGCATCAGATTGAAATAATAAAGCGCAGTTTCTCTTTTTGCGCTCGAGTTTGGGCAGCGTCGCCAAGAAGCGATGTATTTTGCCGTCCTTAACTTCTCCCCCCGCCCCTTTCTAGAGGCACAACTTTAGAAGCACATATTGATCTTTCCCCTCAGATCTTAACAGCCTGAGCAGCCGTAATACCTTGCTTACATCTGCCAGGTTTTTGTGCAGTTTTGCAACATCTCCTTAATCCGGCGAGCAGAAATAGAACATTTCAATCATATTTTGCTACCGGGAAACCGAGCAGATAAAGCGCTTTAAGACCTTGTTGAAAGGGACCGCGCAAGATGGCGAGCGATAAGATCGTCCTATAAGCAGGCGCCGAATGGAAAACTTTTGTTGCCGCTGAAATTTGTTGATAGAGATATTGCAAATAAACGACTCGGTGAGCGCCCCGGCGCCTTAAAACAACGCGGGGTTCACGCGACTGGGGGGGGGGAAATGGCAGCGCCCGAGTTGGATGGAGGTGCGGATTGCCAGGGAGCCCCAGCACCAGCGAGATCGGGGGCTCCTTGCCTCCCCCCTTTTCCCCTCTCCTTGCTGGGAGAGGAGGTCTTATCCGCGCGCCCTTGCCTGGGACCGTGCTCGGCATCGAGGGCTGTCGTCCGTCGCGCCAGTACAGGGCTGACAGTAAATCGCTGCGGGAAGGTGGTCTCAATTTGGCCCGGGTTGCCCTGGCTTTTGGGGATCCACGCGGGGAGCGAGGTTGGCTTTGCTACTATTTCTAAGGGCTTGGGCGATGCAGAGAAAGGAAGCTCGTCCTTTTGTTTCTGCTCTGTTTCTTGAGACTCGCTGTAAAAAAAAAAAGAAAGGAAAAAAAAAAAATCCAAGTTTTACTCAAACTAATTAACCAATTACACTTTAATTCACTGAAAGGGCGTTCTAGCCCCAGAGAGGCGAGCGCCGCGACGTTGGCACAGAGGATGCTGTGCTCCTGCTAACAAAGTGGCTTAAACCCGGCGCTAAGGGCAGAAGCGAGCTCAGCCCGAGCCGGGGAAGTGTGACAGGCACGTCCCTGATTAAAAATGCAAAATGAGAAGGTTGTCACTTATTTAGCTGACTTCTTGGCAGCAGAAGTCTGTCAGGAGGCTGGTGTTTTATTTATTTTTGCAAGGCGGATAAAGCCTTTGGATTGCAAACCTTCTTGGCCTGAATTCGTGCGTGACTCTTAATCCTCCGCTATGACACAGTGAATTCAGGACGAGCCTGATGAATAATTACATTATACAGCAAAGTTGAGAGTTGAAACCAACTCCTGCTGTTTTCCTCTCCGCTCCCTTTCTGCTCCGCGGCGTTTGCTGGCCGTCGAACGCCACGGGGTCTCCTCCTGCCGTCCGGCGCTTCCGGCGTTGCCGTTCAGCATCCCCGCAAAGCGGGGTGCGGGGCGGGATGCGGGGCCGGCTGCGTTGCATGCTTGGACTCTGCGCGCCGCGGGGCAGGGGACGCGCTGGGGCTCCGGGCTCCCCGCAGCTGCAGGGGATGCTCTGGCTAGGGCTCGGCGGAGCAACAGCTTCGTGCCAGTAAAACTCACGCGGGGGGAGGGAAATAAAGCTCAGGCAAAGCTGGATCTCCCCCCACCCCAGCCCGTGCGCAGAAGGCGAGCGGTCCTTGCGGCCCTGCGCGGCCGGGGCCGGGCCCTCCCGCGGGAGCGGCAGAGGGAAGGGAGGGTTCTGCGTCCAGCCCCGGACAAGACCGTTTCTAGTTTGTCTGTGGCAACGAGGCAATAAAAATACCCTCGTCTTGTTGCAGAATGATGATAAATGGTGGACGCGACCAGAGGCCGGCACGCAGCGATTTGCCGCGTTACTCCTCAAACACATACAAATACTTCTCTGTTTACAGCATCCGATTTTGAAACTTTGCACGTGCTCCTGTCGCGAGCCCTCCCCGGCCCTCGGTACGAGCGGTTCGCGTTAACCGAGGTGTGGCTCGCGGGCAGCAGCCAGCCCGCCTGGCTGGCGACGTGTTGGCTGGAAGCGTCTGTGACTTGGGGGCTTTCTATCAACGCCGCTGTCGAGTGCGGAGCCGGGTTGCTTTGCAAAAGCATCCGTTTGTCACCAGCTGAGGCGGTGAAATAAAGCAACGGGGACCCGTTCCAGGCGTTTCGGGCGCTGCGCGGCGGCCCTCCACGCGCTTGCAGCGGCAGCGGCTGTTTGGGGGGAGCGAGCCTTGGGGTGCCCCTCCGCGGGCAGGTGGCGTGGGGCTGGGCAGCGGCCGGCCCTAAAGGGGGGAACGGCTTTGGGGGAGGGGTCGCCCCGGGTGGCGATGGCAGCTCCGGGAGCGAGACGGAGGTTGGTTGGTTGGTTGGTCGGTTGGCTGTCGCAGGCTCGGACAGCGCTCCCGCCCAGGTCCGTGCAAATGCTGCCTGTTAGAGGTTATTCCGTTTGATAGGGAGCTCCAGTCTGCTGCGGGTCGCTCCCTGCCCAAAGACGGAGCATCAGCATCTCCGCGGCGGAGAGAAGGCGGGGTTGGCCATCGTGGCCCAGCCCAGCATCCGCTGCCCGCGACGGGCAAAGGCAGGGAGATGCCGTGCGGGTACCCGGGCCCCGCCCCTGCTCCCCGGGGCGCCGGGGGATGCTCGGCCCCTCGGCGTGGTGCGGGATAGGGGCTGCGGCTCTGCCGCTGCGGTCAGGAGGTTGCGCAAGGCCGGGCGTAGCTGAGCTCGTGCCTCCTGGTGCCAGGAAACGGTGAGCGGCATGTTTCCTGTTTGCTAGCTGGTGGTTGAGTTTCTCACTTGCGATCTGTGTCGCCCTGAATTTGGATGGAAATTGGGATTCGGTTGGAAAGGCGTACAAACAACCTCTGAATTTTTATTTTTTTTTTTTTTTTTTTGGAGTACAGTACCCTTTTCAAAAGCACTCGCTGCATAGGGAAGAAGTTTGCCAGCGCATACTTTGCGTTAACTCTAGAGTTCAGATTTATTGGCTTTATTAAAAGAATCCAACTTCGGTAACGGTAACAAGCATCCCATGGGAGAAGGTAATCTCCCCGGTCCTGGGGCGTCACCCAGGACCTCCCGTTCATGCCCTTCCTGTAGGGCTTCTCGAACCAGAACCGGTTTCGGGCAAGGCGCGGGTTGCGTGAAATACGGGGAGGTTTCCCGGCATCGTTTTGCATAACCTTTCCCCGCGCGCGGGAGGACTGACCCCTCTCTGTTCTCCCCTAGGAAGCTGCACAGCGGGATGAAGACTTACGGATGCGAGCTGTGCGGGAAGCGGTTCCTGGACAGCTTGCGGCTGCGAATGCACTTACTGGCTCACTCAGGTGGGTTGGAAGGGGGATGCTCGGGCGGGACGGGACGGGACGGGACGGGGGGATGCTCTCTGTGCCCGCCCAGGGATGCTGCCGCCGCCTGGCTCGCGCATCTCGTCCAGGGAGACGCGCGCGGAGCTGCCTGTACCCTTCCCAGGGCGGCACGTTGCAAACTTGTTCTCCAGTGCCCAGTAATTTGATTTATTTAAATTTTCTTTCTTGGAGTTTGGTTTCGGTTCCTTAATTGGGGAAACATGTTCTGGGCTAAGCAGCTCGGAATAGCAAACTCTCCGTACCGCGCGGCTGCTTGTTGTCCGGGGCTGCTCGGAGCGTAAGCGTCGCCTTCGCTTCGGCTCCCGCGTGCACCCCGGCACCGCGTTCCTCGCGTACGGGAGCCCACCGCAGTTTCATTAGCAAAACTGCTGCGGAATTAGGCGTTGCCTGCCTAATGAATCTAACCAGCAGGTTCACGTGTCGCAGGCCCTTTAATTAAATAGAGAGGGAAGGGCTGGAGCGCTGTGCCGGTGGGAAGACTTGTGCTCTGCAAGTCAGCGTAGGCTGATGTTCCTGTTGGGCCTGCAGCCCCTTATACAGCTGGGGGTTTAATGTAAAAAAAAACAAAAACAAACAAACAAAAAAAAACCCGCTGGTGGCCGCCGGACCCCTTTGCTCGAACGCAGGTGGGAGTCCTCGTCCCGCTCGTTTGAGGGCAAATCGCTTGGGGTGGCAGATAGCACAGCCAAAGCTGTGCTGGTGGGTAGCTTCGCAAGGAAGCTATATTATATTTTATATGTTTTTATCTATTTTTTTTCCCCGACGTTCGTATTTCTGTTTTCCCCTCCGCCCCTTGTCCACGCCGAGGGGCACAGGGCAGGGATGTGCCTTGCCCGTAGCCGAGGGAACCGCGCAGGCTGCCATCCCCGCGCTCCTTCTGGCCAGGCGGCAGGTTCTGCTTTTCGGGGCGTTGGAGCTGGCCCCGACCCCATCCCCACCTTGCTGCTTTTCGGGACGGGTGCCGGCTCCGCAGGGTGCCCGCAGGCAGCGGTGGCTGCTGGGGCTGGTGCCCGGGATGCTGGTGTCCCCCCGGACCCCGGGGCGCTGGTGCTGGGGTGCAGCGTGCTGGTGTCCCCCCAGCACCGGGGTGCGGGATGCTGTGCCCCCCCACCCCATCCAGCGCTGGGGCACAGGATGCTGGTCCCCCCCTCCGGCGCTGGCGTGCGCGGCTCGTGTTTGTTACGGTCGCTTTGGCTCCCGGCCCATCCCTGGCGGGCGGCCAGCTTTGTGGGTACAGTATGTACAGTGAACGTCGAGCCAAGCTTGTCATCGCGCAGGATTAATTATTTTTTT